ACCATGTTGACCAGGATGGTCTCGATCTCTTGACCTCGTGATCCACCCGCCTCGGCCTCCCAAAGTGCTGGGATTACAGGCTTGAGCCACCGCACCCGGCGTGAAATTTTTATTAGATTGTCCAGCTGTAAAACTGGAGAAATCTTTACATATTTTGAAGGAGTTATTTGTTGGGTATCTGTGTTAGGGTCTTCCTTAGACCGTGGCTTGTCTTTTCACCTCTAATTGTATCTTGTGATGAAAAGAAAATCTTTATTTTAATGAAGTTTGATTTAGGAATTAAATTTTATTCTTAGTGCCCTTGTTTCTTGTTTAATAAATCTTTGTCTAACTTAAGATTATGCTGATCTTTTCCTGGTGTTTTCTTTTTTCTGAGATGGAGTCTCACTCTGTTACCCAGGCTGGAGTGCAGTGGCACTCCAGGAGGCTTGAACCCACCTTCTGGGTTCAAGCAATCCTTCTGACTCAGTCTCCTGAGTAGCTGGGATTGCAGGCATGCATTGCCACACCCGGCTAATTTTAGTATTTTTAGTCGAGACAGGATTTCACCATGTTGGCCAGGCTGGTCTTGAACTCCTGACCTCAGGTGATTCACCTGCCTCAGCCTCTGAAGGTGCTCGGATTACAGGTGTGAGCCACCTCGCCTGGCCAGGAAATGCTCTTTTATTTCTAGTTTGCTAAAAAGTTTTAATCATGATATTAAATTTCATCAAATATTTTTACTGCCTTTATTAAGGAGATCATGTGTTTTCTCCCTTATTTTATTAATTTGTGATATATATTGATTGCTGTTTAAATGATAAATTGCCCTCACATTCTCAAACCTAATTTGGTTTGATGTATTATCTGTTTAATATAATGCTAAATCTGACTTGCTGATGTTAGTTATTAGAACTTTTGCATCTAAATTCATGAGAGAGATTGCCCTATGATTTTTTTGTAATGACTTTGTCAGGTTTTGGCATCAAGTTTTATGTTGGTCTCAGAAAGCAGATTGACACATTTTCCTTTTTTTCTGTTGTTTAAAAGAGTTTATATAAAATTGGTGTTATTTTTCCTTACATTTTGATAAGGAGTTCCCTGGTGAAGCCCTTTGGACCATCTCTGTGGAAAGGGTTTTTAATTTCTGATCCAATTTCTTTGATCAACATAAGCTGTTCAGATTTCCTTTTTTCTTCTTGGGTCACTTTTGGTATGTTGCATTTTGCAGTTTGTCCATTTTATGTAAACTCTCACATTTAAAGTTTGAAATTTTAAAAAAATAACCTACTGTCTTGTGATTAGGATGGATCAGTGATGTCTCATTTTTTTTAACAAGCAATAGAAAATGCATTTTTATTCCATATTTTAAAAATACAGACTTTCTAGCAACTTGTACATTTCTATTATAATAATAAATTGATACTCTGAGCCAAGAAAACAGTATCACCAAACGTTCATTTGTATCCTTTGTTTAGGGGTGTTTCACATTTATGCATAATTTTGCTTTTATAAAAGATGATTGTTACAATTAGGTATACATCGACTTAATTATGCCTAAGTTCTGTCTCTTAAAATATGTTATTTTAGAGAACCCATTGAACCATCTTATTCTTTTCTTCAGTTTTCTCCAAACAGTGGTAGAAGTACTATTTGATGAACAGAATAAAGAAAATTGTTTTTGACCACACTCAGATCATACTTGATATCTACAGTATAGTCCTGGCTACAAGGGAGCCCAACTCTAACTTGTGAAGTGGGCTTGTTTCGAAAGTAAAAATGAGGTGGTAACTAATGATAGTGCTAGTTATTATCAAAAATTAACAACTTTAGGTATTTTTGTTTTGGGTTTTTGTGGTTTAGGTGCATCCAAAATTTCTTCATAATCTGCACTCATTCCCTTTGCCCAGCGACCAACTGTGACCATTCGATCCGAATTCTGACTTTCCAGGCAATCTTTCTTTAAATGTTCCACGGAGCCACAAAGTTTGCAACCACCACCATCAGCATAGAGTCCTTTGGGATTATCAGAACAAGCTCTAGACAGGTGCCCCATTTCTCCACAAACAGAACATTTTGCGAAAGGAAATTCACCAAGAGCCGGGTCTACTTTAGCCTTACACTTGGTTATTTCGTGCTCTGTGGACCCATACTTGTAACATATTCCAGTGTCCATGTCTTGATTTTCAAGGGCAGCAGGGCGATCTGTCATTCCATGACCAGGTTTTCTGCAATGGAAACACACCATTGCATTTTTCTTTGCCGCTTGTCTTTTTAATCTTCCTTCCGTCGACTGTCTTTAAAGCAACTGCATTTTCTTCCCTTACTTCCTGTCTGTTGCTATAATTTGCCCATTGTGAACCATCTGTGAATTCTGTCTTAGGTATTCCATGAATCCATTCACATCTTCATTTAAGTACTCTTTTTTTCTTTTTGTGTTTTGCTTGGGGTGCATCATTTTTAAGGGATAGCCTATTGGCTTCAAGTTGTTTACACTTTGGTAGGTTTTGGCTTGTTCCCCCAAAGGATCCCTTCTTCGTGTCCTCCCATGATGTTGCAGGCAAGGGTATTTTGTTATATGTAGTATTAACTCGTGCTCACCTGGTCATAATTTCATCAGAGGTACCTCACTGCGCTACCGCACACGAATTCCCCAGAGCAACTGAGTTAGCAAGCCAGAGAAGCCAGCCCTGATGTCTCATTTTTTATTCTGATATTGGTCATTTGTGCTTGCTCTCACTCTATGTCTGTCTCCTCTATCAGTCTTGTTATGTTTTATCATTTTTGTTCTTTTTTTCAAAGAACCAACTTTTGGCTTTGTTGATTTTGTGTCTTGTTCATTTGTTTTATATTTTCATTGATTTCTGTTCATTATTATTTCCTTCCTTTTACTCTCTGAATTTCAGTTGTTCTTTTAGCTTCTTGAGATGAATACCTATTGATATCATTTAGTCTTCTTTTCTCTTAAATACACAAAAGGTTAAAAATTTTCCCTTTAAGCATGGGTTTAAATGTGTCCCACAAGTTTTCTTTTTCTTTTTGTTTGTTTGTTTGTATTTTTTTCTGGTTTTGTTTTTCAGTTTTTTTAAATTTTATACCCCACAAGTTGTGATATATTTTCATTATCATTTCAATTCAAATAGTGTTAATTTCCATTGTGTTATCATCTTTAGCCCATGGGTTTGTTTTATAAGTGTACGGCTTAATTTTCAAAAATTTGGATATTTGATTTTTTTTTTTTTTTTTTTT